GGGGGGCAGTACCCAACCTAAATCGCATGGTCTTAGGGGGTTGTGGAAGTCCTGTGAAGAGCTCCAGCGAGAGTTTGTTGGAGCTACCGCTCCGACTGGATGTTTCTCGAAAGTCCGTACTCACATGAGTACTATACTATATGTGGGTATTATGTTACCCAATATAGAGTAAGATTCTATCCTCCTTTTGGGTATAGTATTTATATAAGGAATATTATCTTACTAGGTTCAACCACCAAAAAAACACTACTCACATAAGCTGTTAGGGTTTAGGGATTAGGGTTTCGGGTTTAAGGTCTCAGCCTCTAAAGTACAGGGGTGTATATAGAGGATTATATAGGGGACTATTACACCGTCTTTTCGGGGAGAGTAGGGGGTTTAGATTATAGTCGCATGACCCAAATTGAGAACACGCCCACTGCCTAACGGTATGTTTAGGTTCGGGGTTCAACGTATACATACAAACAGACCTACCTACGTACGAACATAAGTCCATCCATCCATCCATCCATCCATCCATCCGTCCATCCATCCATGCATGCATGCATGCATGCATGCATACATACATACATACAAACATACATACATACAGACATAAGTGCATATAGGTATATTCCGCAGGTTACATGTGACGGGGGACTGTTGAAAACGGGATGAAGGTTAGGATGAGGTGATTACCAGGAGGGATCTAATTCTAATGGATATGTGACAGTGGGTTTAGGACCCTAAGTCCTCCCTAAACCCTACATCCTAAACCATGTGATTCTGCGGGGTCGTTTTGAGAAGCTCCGATCTAATTTTTATTGCTTTGCCGAAGGCAATTCACAGTTGTTTTCGAGTTTTGCCTCTACCTTTCCTAAACCCTGAACCCTAAACCCTAAACCCTAAGAATTGCAAGCTCCTTAAGAGGTCCTAGGAGAATATTGGGGAATATTGGGGTCTACTAGGGTTTAGGGTTTAGGGTTTGGTCAACTGCCCCTTGAGCCACCCCCACTTAACAAACTAACAGAACCCCCCTTGGCACTACCTGGTGCTTAATGGAGAGTGGGGGAGTGGATCCCACACCACTACTCCCGCTTCAGCACCAGTTTGGAAAGGACAGGAAAACTCGCAAACTTCAGTCCTGGCTATAAGGGGAGGATGACATCCCTGCAATTTATCCTTTGGAAGGTCCTCGGAACGTCGTACCTGAATGAGGTAAACTTTCGTCATTACGGATCCTAGGCCCTCAGCCGTTGTACATATTTAAAAAGGTGGAAACTTTGGGCCTTTCCAGGGGTCCTTGTATACTACACGTTATATACCCTGTAAAGCCCTACAGGCCTTGCTCAGGGTCCATAGCAGTTCGCCCATGGTTTGGACCTTAGGGTTTAGGGTATAGGGTTTAGGGTTTAGGGGTTTAGGGGTTTAGGGTTTAGGGGTTTAGGGGTTTAGGGTTTAGGGTTTAGGTTTTTTCAGTGATCCAGGGCCTTCTAATATTGGTCAAGGCTGAGATTGGGTTTTTCCCGATCACTGCTTGAACCGTGCGGAACGAGCTGAAGGCAAACAAAGAGGAGGGTGAAGGACTTTCAGGGCTTAGGGTCCTGAACCCTAAACCCTAAACCGCAGGGGCTGGTTTGGGGGCCCACATCAGAGATTCAGTTTTCTTGTCAAAGCTCCTGTCCATCACGCTTGCCCAGAGTCAAGTGCACAATTGTTCCCAGTGCCAACCGTAAGATTGAGAAGGGCGTCTGAACCAAACCGCTAAGGTTTAGGGTTTAGGGGGTTTAGGGTTTAGGGTTCCTCCATGCCTTCAATTAGGACGCGGTAACTATCACACTGCCATGGGGTCCTGAGGTTGGATGTTGGGGCGTTCAGAAAGGGTTCAGGGGTTTAGGGTTTAGAGTTTCCTGCCGCGAATGGGAGGCATCAGTTCTCGAAAAAAGTTTCCAAAGTTGCGCTGGGTCGTAGGTTGCATAGGAACTAGTTCACAAGCCTCTCCACTCCCCTCATAGATATACTCTCAAGGTAGTACAATCATATATAAATGGATATATGAGCGAACCATTTGTAACTTCGGGGTTGGGGGTTATCAAAGTGAGAAGCCCAAGTTAAAAACTGGCAGCCTTGTATAGTGTCTTGCGAATGCTGCTATATACTAGTGCTTTGTTACTACGCACCTACCTAGCAAAGGCATCCGGAGGACCTTTGTCGCGCTGTAAGGATTGAAGCGGCGTAGGTTCGCCGCAGTTCGCTGTTGATCATCGGTGCCCCTAGCATGCGTTGAGCTTGCCACCGTCACCTCATTGTGAGTTATATAGCCCTTAGCCCTAAACCCTAAACCCAATACATTTCCAAATCCTCAAGCCCTGCACCCTAAGGATCGCCCCTCCTACAATCTGAACCCAACATGGGATTTTCCAAACCATGGGGGTCTTTCTTTGGGGGCAGTCCCTTTCATGTCCTATCATGAATCAGGTTTAGGGTTTAGGGCTTAGGGTTAAGGATTGTAACATCTTCGGATAACATTGGAGCCCCTAATTGTTTACGCCCGCCCGCCCCCCCCGCCAAATATCTTGCAAGCAACCTACAAGCCAGAGGCGCTACGCGGCGGTCGTCTCGTTTTCTCCGAAAACGTCCGGGCGGCCGCGTACCTAATCTGACTCCGGAGTTGCACCCAGGGGTTAGGGTTAAGGTCTTGGGCTGCACTGGGGCACTACATGGCACCACCATATAAGAGTTATGTTGAGGCCATATGGGGCACAAACCTTGGCTAAACTAGCCTGTTCACCTTCATGACATCCTGAACCCTAGGATGGATGAAGTTTTCGTGTAGCTTGCAAAGCATTTGTTGATTGCTCTGCAACCCGCATGCCTCGCGCAGCTAGGCATCCAAGCCGGATGACAAATAGCAGTCAGCACGAGCACACGTAGTATAGGAACAGATGGGTGGGCTAGCATTTTGAGGTTTTAAGTATGGGCCCCTAATACGGGCCCTTAGGCCTGTTGAGGGACCCTTAAGGGTACATGTAGGGGATATAGTAGGTATGGATGCCAGGGTTAAGGGCCCCCACTAGGGGCCCATACTTTCAACCTTAGAAGCATGCCCTCGCATCGTGTAGTTGAGAAGCCTCACACCCCCAAACCCTCAAACCCCTGAACCCCCAAACCCTTAACCCCTAGTCCCCCTGAAGTAGATAGAATATGGCTCTGCGTATATTATGGTAAGATCCCCATATACCCCATATTCTATCTACTTCATGGGGTACTATAAAACTTGAGCTTCGGGCTAGGGTTGGTCCGGCTTCTATTCTGCTGTAAGTAGTAATACCCTCCCCCTAATATTAAGCCCCCCCACCCCCCAACGTTAAATACTCTAATATGGTTGAGGGTTTAGGGTTTAGGGACCCCCCCCCACCCCCCAATGTTAAATACTCCAATGTGGTTGAGGGTTTAGAGTCCAGTCGCTTGTCTCCAGAGCAGGTCTTGGAGTTAGAAGAGGTCAGGCAGGAGCTCTCTCTTCAATTCAATGAAGACGCGGACATCCTTCATCAGCGAATTCAAGTTGTCTCCGAAGTTGGGTATGCCTTTGTTCTCTTGCAGAGGGCCCTTTCAGAACATGAACAGCATGGCGTACCATATGGTCATGGCTGCCAGGGAGACCTCTCCCCAACAGCTATGGAGCACCAGGGAAGCCTCAGCTTACTACTTTCGCCAGCTAACTGGAGACCTAGCCTCTCTTTCAAGCTCGCCTGAGTGATTTCCATACAATGTTCCATGGAGAAGACCTACCGTAAGGGTCCAAGGACTCAGATAATAAGGTTTTAGGGCCCAAATGCTTTGAATATTGTGGTATTTGGGCCCTAAGGCCCTATTTTTTGAGTCCTTGGACCGGTTTAGGTTTAGGGTTTAGGGACATAAACCCAGTTTGATTTTTCTTGACTCGTTTACCTTGGCCTGCTCCAATATACTATTGCTATAAGCAATTTAGGGTTTAGGGTAACAGGAGTATTTGACATTACAGGGGTTGGGTGGCTTTCTATTTTAGGGGGAGAGGATTATTTCGACAGTCTTAGGGTGGGTCCGTCTGCAGACCACCGGATAGCCGTTTGTTCTGCACCCGATACAAGAAACCCAAAAACCTACATCCCAATCGACTTGACGGATGAAAACCGCAACCTTCCTAAGCCCTACACCCCTCAACCCCTAAACCGCTTCAGCATCCGTTGCCCCTCCAAACCCTAGACCCTAAACCCACCCCTAAATCCCTAAATCCCCTAAGCCCACCCGCTGCCCAATATCCTAAACCCTACACTGCCCTAGACCTTTAAGGTTTAGGGCTTAGGATGGTTTAGGGTACTATTCTACATGCTCCTGGGGTCCAGGTATACCTTAAACCCTAAACCCTAAGTCCTAAACCATCCTAAACCCTAAATCCTAAACCCTGAATCCCTAAGCCAAGGCGAACTTGCTGGAGGCTTTACGTCCGGTCCACAGCCAGGGGTTAGGGTTTAGGGTTTAGGGGTTTAGGGTTTAGGGGTTTAGGGTTTTAGGGTTTCGGGTTTAGGGGTTTAGGGTTTGGGGTTTTGGGTTTGGGGGTTTGGGGGTTTTGGGGTTTGCGGTTTAAGGTTTTAGGGGTTTAGGGTTTTCGGGTTTAGGGTTTTCGGGTTTTGGGGTTTAGGGTTTTGGGTTTAATTTAGGGGCTTATGCTTTCGGGTTTAGTAGACACGTGCTGGAACGCTTACATCTCATGGGTAGTTGGCCCTCTATGTGGGCGTTTGCATACGCTTGGGGGGAGTTTGAGTATATCCCACATGTACTATAAACCCTTTTTATAGGGCCTCGCGAGAAGGCGCCTCTTATAGGGTTTCGGGGAAAACCCTAAACCCTAAACCCTATTTTTTCAGAACGGACTACCTACTAGCTCTCCAGGTTCATCCCCCAGGTCCATTTGAGCCAGAATCTAAACTCCTTAAAAGGGGGCTATATAGAGAAATATATAGGGGACTACTATAGGGGTTATTAAGGGGGATGCTAGGAGTTTAGACTACAGCTCATTTTAGTTCTAAAGCGGAGCACCTCTGCAGATGCTGAACCCTTAATGTTGTCAGCCCTGAACGCAAATTCTGTCCGTAAACCCTAAACCCTAAACCTTAAATCCAAAACCAAAACCCGAAACACTAAACGTAGGCCCCGGAGTTTAAGCTTCAAATCGTGAACCCACAGACTTCGGAAGGCTTTGGCGGATGGCCTGCTTGGGCGAGCAACGCTCCACACGGCAACCAGCAGGACGGTTTTAGGGTTCAGAGTTGAGAGGCCTTGTGTGGAGGCTTTAGGTTTCAGGATTTCAAGGTTTTGAGGCTTCTTACTGGAGGTTCATGGCCCCCGCGTACCTGTCATCTGGAGATCGTATCAACTTTCTTTTTATTTGACATAATATCCTATTATCCATAAAACCAATAGGGAGTAGGAGCACAAGGCAATCTTCTCTGCAGAGGAATTCGAAAGTATCCAGGTTTGGCGGTCCATTTGGTAAGGGCTCACTAGTAAAGGTGCCGAGCCCTGAACCCTTGGGCGAAAGCTGAGGATGCAGTTGGTCAACTAGTTCTGTTTGCGGTGGTATAACCGTAAACTGGTACAGCCTTGAGTTTGTTTTTAACCAACCCACTTCGGGCAATCACCAGACTTTTGAAAAAAAAACCAGTGAAATGGCGAAGCTTCCCACATCGTCCCTACTGCTCAAACCGTAATTAAACCTTTAATCAGGGTTTAGAGTTTTGGGTTTAGGGTCCCAGTTAAGGTGTTAACCATAGGGTCTCAAGGAGGAGCCTCGCACTTTTAAACCCCCCAAAATAAGCCTTAAATGAGCTATAGCCTAAACTCCTTGAAGGGGGCTATATAGGGGATTATATAGGGGACTATTATAGGGGTTATTAAGGGGATACTAGGAGTTTAGACTGTAGCTCAAATAAGCTTGAAGAACGTCGAATATGGCCCTAATAGTTGGTATGGGTCCCTTACTCCCGGGGTTGTTATATGCGGCTCTCATGACTTAACCTAACGATATAGGGTTCGGAGCCTAGCAAACCGAAGCGCGTAAGGCCATGTCTGCCTTCAGGCCCAACTGTCATAGATGTGTGAATTAGGTTCAGCGTTTTAGGGAGCAGCCTGAAAATTCCCCAAAGTCACGGTTTAGGGTTTATAGGGTTCAGGGTTTGGGGTTTAGGGGGTTTAGGGGGTTAAGGGTTTATAGGGTTCAGGGTTTAGGGTTTAGGGGGTTTAGGGTTTATAGGGTTCAGGGTTTAGGGTTTAGGGGGTTTAGGGTTTATAGGGATCAGGGTTTAGGGTTTAGGGTTTATAGGGTTCACGGTTTAGGGTTTAGGGGGTTTAGGGGATTTAGGGTTTATAGGGTTCAATGTTTCCCTGTCACGCCTGGTTTAGGTTTAGGGTGTTACCCCTGTACATGCATGCCTTGCACCCTCTACCCCTGTACCCATCTTCCACCCTAGACGCCGGGTGTCGAGGTGAGGGAAGAATCACACCCCTTGGTCCTGGTTGTGGGAAGGCCCACAGCCCTGAAGCTCATCCTCTAAAATGGATACAAAGCCAACCCTTTTTAAGACCAAAGGGCTCAAGGCCTACGACCCTGTAGAGGCAACTATCCTGTTAATGAATAGGCTTCACGGGTTTGGGCTTTAGTCCCTGTCAAAACAAGTATTGTATGTTTAAGCAGGAGGCTGCTGGGGTTTAGGATGCGGACTGCGTTCCGATTAAGGATGCAGGGTTTCATTTTTGTGTGGGAAGAGTATGTCCGGTCAACCTTATATCCTTGAGGATTAGGAATTTTGGGGCTCAAGGATTAAATCTAAACCCAAAACGCCACACTCTAAAAGCGGCTAGGACCTCATATTCACCTCAAACCCTAAACCTTAAGTCGTTGGATGATGTTGGATGTGAGAACTGCCCTGTGCGATTACAAAAGCAGAGCTAAGGGCTTAGGGTTCCCCCAAAAGGGAACCATTGTTCGATCTAACGTAGACCCCTGATTCATAAACCCCTCCCTTTAATAGGGACCATAATAGGGATCCTAACATTAAGGCCCTGAAAAGGGTGGTTTGCTAATCATTGCTCTACATTAGGAGGACCCCCCACCCTGTAATAGTCGTATAATAGGACTATAAGAGGACCCTAATATAACCCCTATCCCTTATAGTCACTATTACTGGGTGGGGGGTCCACCTAAGCCCTACATTGATTTTTAATGTGTGTTCTACCAAAAGCCTTTGGAGCAGGCCGCAGAGCCTACAGTCGAGGAGGAGACGGTGCTGGCAGACGAAAAATGTGTTTGTAGTGCATAGGCCCAAATGAGCTATAGTCTGAACTCCTTAAGGGAGGTTATATAGGGGATGCTATAGGGGATTATATTGGGGGTTATTAGGGGGGATACGAGGAGTCTAGATATTGGCTCAAATGATTAGAAAAGGGTGTCGGGTTTCGGGGTGTTTGGGTGATCTCAGAAAAAACGCAAAAATACGATAGGCGACTATAATCCTTATTAAGCTTTGGGCAACCCACTGTGTGTTAATCTGATGATTAAGCAGAGGAGGCACAGGGAACTGGGAATGCTCAGGGGTGGAGGCGTGTCCTTACAGGGGTAGTAAGCACTCTCATTAATTTCATAGGGCTTAGGGTTTTTCATAGCAAGTCAGCAAGAGGCCTATCAGCTGGTTTGCCTGGATTTAATGTAGAGGCCCCCTAGACATTCAACCCTATACCCAAATGGTAATTTCCCAAAATAGGGGGACCCTAATATAGATCCCAAAGTACTATAGTCCATATTATAGGGACCCCCAAAATGGTACCCCTAATTTTGGGAAATTACCAAACCCTACAGCAGTGTTTTGTGTGGCTGAGGTTCAGGGTTTAAGGCTATGGGGATCCCATCAAGTGTCACAAGGATACACGAACTGGAGTCTAGGCTCTTTAAAGGGAGTTCTATACGGGATTAGATAGGAGAGTATTCTAGGAGTCACAAACTACCGGAAGCCCTAAACTTGGACGTAAGATCAATGGCCTACGAAATCTTTCCAAGCCATATGTATCCCCATATATTATATATCCCAATATGTCCCTTTGTAAGCCCCATGATCCCTTAACAGAGGCCGGACCGTCTTAGTTCCCTGGCTAACCGATTTTCTTAGGAACCTGGAGAGGAACCCTAAACCCTAGTTAGTTAGTTTCCTTACGAGGAAGACCCCTGCCAGAGCAGTTTAGATTTCAAGGTTCAGAGCAACTTGCTTTCAAGTGCTCCCTTTTGTAATCCATCTTGAGCTGTTGCTGTGAAGGAACTTCACTTACATAAATTAGTTGCCATAAATGGGGTTTCCTCATTATAGTAGCTTGAGTTTTTGTTGATGGTGTTCAGTGGTTCTTGCAGGCCAATTTGGGGATCCAAAGCATCAGAAGCCAAATATTTGGCGGTATGTGAGGGAGCCTTGTTTTTAGAAACATCCACAGATCTTCCGCGTTTGGTTCCGGGCTTCCGTCTCTACTAGTTTAGGGTTTAGGGTTTAAACCCTGAACCCTAAACTGTATTCCTGCTTAGAGACATGAAGGTCACGCCCTCCTAAACCTAACCGCTTAGCCCTCAAGCGAGTGAACTTCACTTAAAGGCACCTGCTGAGGAGTGCAGCGGTCATGTTAGGATGTAGGTAGTCCCAGCCACACCCAAATCCTCAGACGTGTTACCCTCAGACGTGTTTAGGGTTAAGGATTTACGGTTTAGGGTTTAGTGTTTAGAGTTTGGAGCCAGCTACTGTAGAAGTCTGGGTTGCCTTCAATCTTGGCCCTTCATGCTCCTAGCAAAGGCATCACCGAAAAATAATTAATTTTAGGGTTTAGGGTTTAGAGATTTTAGATACTGGAGACAACATTTATTTCAGAGGGAGGGGGTGTCTGAAACTACCATCAGGTGCTTATGCCAATCTCTATACATACCAACGTCAAAATCCCTCACCGCGCCTCAACTGAAAGCTGGCAGGCTCACAGGATCCAAGAAGTCATGGATGTTTTCTTTCCCCGGAGGGTGCTTTAGAGAAAGTTGTACAGTAAGCTTTTGTCCTCTGTTTGGTTCAGAATGCTTAGAAGAAGAATTCTAACCGAAAACCCTAACCCTGAACCCTAACTCCTCAACCCTAAACCCTCAACCCTAAGCCCTAAACCCTGAACCCTTAACCCTAAACCCTGAGGCAGAACCTGGTCATCTTGCCCTGGCTCAACCCTACAGAAACACTGCTCCTTTCAATATCAGAGAAGGGTCTCCTCCCCAATGGAGGGTGGAAAGTCCCCCTTAAGTAGATAGACTATGGCTTGGGGCAACTTCTAGTAAGATCCCCATATACCCCATATTCTATCTACTTGAGGGAGACTATAGGGTTTACGAGGTTGGGACGTGTAGTCACTGAACTTCCATTTTTTCGGGGATCGGGGTACAGAATCAAAAACAGACCAGGGCCTCGCACCCTACCCACCCCAAAGTAACATGGAAATCCGCATAGGCTCCCTCAAGCAGTAGTAGTGTAGCTTCTGGTCTTTCATGTTAGTTTTGGGGGTTTAGGGTTTAGGATTTAGGGTCTAGGGTTTAGGGCCCCTAACCCGAAGCAAGCTCATTGCTGAGTTGTTCTTGCCGGAGACATTTTTGCTTCAATCAAGAGCGTGTCGAAAGGGACGTCCTGGAAGGGAGGTGGACACAGCTCCTGGATACATGACAGCATGTGAGCTATGGTCTAAACTCCTACAAGGGGGATTATATACGGAGTACTAGGGGACTACTATAAGTGTTATTCAGGGGGATACTGGGAGTTTAGACTATGGCTCATGTTTTTTTCTTCTTGCCTTGCTCCCTTGGATTCCTTTAACCCTCAACCCGCCGCACTGGTAGGTTGTCAAAAGGCTGATCCTTTTGGGGGTGCCCGGTGTGATATGGCATCCAATATTCAGCTACCCAACGCATCGATAACTGTGACAGCTCACCATACCCTGAGCCCTAAACCCTAGCGGGAGTTGTGCAAGATGCATATGCGCCAAAGCAAGGTCAACATATCTGCAATTGTAAAGAGTCTCATGTTTAGATTTTGTTTCCGGCACCTGGGGCTTAAGTGCTGAGGGCTTAATGAGTCTGCGCTGAATATAACTTTAGTTCTGTCATCCCTACGAAGCTAGCTTATTTCAGTACGGAACCGGTTCAGGGCCCCTAAGCCCTAAACCCCTCAACAAAAAATCCTGAGCCCCCACGGCTGCTTTAGATGGACAACATCCTGCAATGACCTTATATGAAGGTTTCCAACAATTCGGTGTCCCTTTCTGCGGCCCCTACAATAAGGATCAGCGAATCAGGGTGAAGTACCAAATGCCCAATTCCTACTGCTGAAATCTACTGCATGACCTGAACCCTAAACCCTAAACCCTAAACCCTTACCAAGCTCCCCTAGGTTTGGGGTACTTCGGGTCATGCAGGGTTGTATTGCTAACCGCAGGAACCGTGTTCGTATAATATGCCACTGGGTTATGCAAGAAGGCAAGGTTTGTGTCCATCCACCGCATTAACCGTGAACCCCTGAACACTAAACTTTGGGGAAACTAATTTGTAGTTTCCCCATGTAGGCTTGCTCTAGCGCTCAGACACTTCTAAGGTCCTCATATAATTCCTGTGGCAAAAGGCCCTGAGCCCTAGACCCTAAATTTTGAACTCCGAAAGGGTAATCACTTGGTAACTCCCCACCCAATAATTTCCTCAATCAATCACACGCGGCTGAGCTATAGTCTAAACTCCTAGTATCCCCCTTAATAACCCCTATAATACACCTTTATATAATCCTTCTTATAAACCCCTAAACCCTGAACCCTAAACCCAACCCAAAAAAGTGTACAAAATCCCGTTTATAGTCCCTTCTAAGGAGTTTAGACCCTAAACCCTAAACCTGATAACCCCCCTACAGGAGTTTCAATTATAGCCCAGGTTCAGCCAAATCCACCAAGCTTGCGCTCGCGAACATGGGAAGTGTCAGCACGCAGGCCGTTCAGTGTTTAGGCTTAAGGGTTTAGGGTGTGGGGTTTAGGGTAAAGGCTTTAGGGTTCGGGGTCTAGGGCTTAGGGTTCAGGGTTTTACCGTTTAGGATTCGTTTAGGGACTTGGGCTAAGGGAACAACAGAAAAAAACCTTTGCTGACCTCGACCCACATAGTGTCCTGTCAAAAACTTGATGAGCCCTAACGTTGCCATACTTCATGTTCAGGACTCAACCCTTCCACTCTGACGTTTAGGATTTAGGTAAACATGCTTTAAAAAGATCCCATGCTGCAGAACTCAGACCCTCGAAGGGGTCAAACATGTAGATCCCTTAGAAGACGATGCGGGATTTGGATCCATCCTTTAAATCCTCCGGGGGGCCTGGAAAGAGATTATGATGATTTATCGAGAGTGCAGTAGTTGTACACTGCAGCCTAGTGGAAGCATAATGTAGAAGCCTACTATATGAGCCATAACCTAAATTTCTTAAAGGGGGTTATAAAAGGGGCTATATACGGGGTTAGTATAGCGGGTATTAAGGGGCATACCGGAATAGATTATGGCTAATATACCAATGTCACAATCCTAGATTCCTTGTAGGATGATGGCATAGGGTACCTCAAATAGACGGACCCCCATGAGACGGTTTGGGGTTTACGAAGCTTAGGGTTAGGGGTTTAGGGATGCCAGGCAGGTCAGGACAGAATGAAGCATCAAGAAGCCAGACCGGCCTGTGTAGGGTTGCTATGGCAAATCTACATTGAGTAGTGGTTTTTTTGGGGGCGATACTATAGTCCCCAATGCAGAGTATGATTGAATCCTCCTCGTTGGCATAACATTTAGAAAGAAGAAATGGTCTTAGTTGCTTCAACCACCACAGAGCACTGCTCAATTGATTTAGACCGCAGAGAGGCCGAATCATCATCAACATATATTCCGTCTCGTGGTTTAGTACAGCCCCCAGGCCTAAACCCGAAAGCGAACCTAAAGCCTAAACCCTAAATATATGCCCCAATCAGATCGCATCCCTGAGCCCTAAACCCTAGACCCGAAAGTTATGTAGGAAATATTGATTGTAGCTCATATGAACTACACTCTAAACTCCTTAAACGGGGGTTATGTAGGGTTGTGGGTTTAGGCTTTGGAGGTTTAGGGTCTAAGCTCCTTAAAGGGGCGTCTATAACGGATTTTATAGGGAACTACTATGGGGTTATTAAGCAGGGGGGAACTAGGAGTTCAGACTGATGGCTCATATAATGCTTCAAAAA